TAGTGACCCTCCTTGGGTTTCTGAGGTGGTATCACTATGGAAGTAGATTGCCCAACCTTCCTTCTGAGGAGTGGCTGGTGGGTTTGAAACGCCAGCCTTCTGGTTAGCAGTCAAGTGCCTTAGGCACTATGTGACCACAGCTCCTATAGAGTTCTTAGCAAGGACCAAATAGGGGCCTGGCCTATACAGGGCTAGAAAGAGAAAAGGAGGAAAGAGTTCTTGTCTTGGGGAACTTGCACTCTAATGGGGGAATGAAGTTCACTCAGAATGAACTAATAAAGACTTTCCTGGAGGGCAGTGGTAGTGTGAGGATAGAAGAGTGCTAAGAACAGTTGGAATTCCAAGAAGGAACAATTCATTGTCCAATGCTACTCCCGTTACTGGTGAAAAATCAGCTAGTCTGACCATAACACTCTCCAGCTTACCTGACATCATGACCTACCAAGTCCTTCACTCAACCCATGTTCCAATTATACTGGACCTTTCACTGGTACCACAACATGCTATGCTCTTTCTCAACCCCTGCAAACTTTTACTTTCCTTCTAGTAAACTCATGCCTTTGAAGACCTAGTTCAATGTCACCTCCTCTATTAAGCTGCCGCACCTCCTTGTACAGGCAATGTTAGTCTTTTTTCCCTAGTAGTGGCCCTGCAGGTGTCTTGAACCTTTATTGTAGCATTTGCCACTTTATTATAGTGTGATTGTTTGCATGCTATCTCCCTCACAAAACTGGGAGTTCCTTTATGACAGGAACCATGTTCTTCATCACTGATGAATTATCATTTGTCAGAGGGATGACACTCAATTACTGTTGTTGAAAAAAACATTAATCTATAATCCATTCCTCTTTCTGTTCCAGTTAAATGTGTGCAGTTACAAGATTTTCTATCATCATTCACTCATCTCTAATAATTTATTCCCATCAAATGATGGAACTTGCCTAACTCAAGATTTTTGGGCTTTTTCCTCTGTACCAGTGGATCTCAAACTTTAGTGTGTATTAGAATCACCCGAAGGGTTTGTTAAAACATACACTGCTGCCCACCCTTAGCCTTTCTGATTTAGGTCAGGGGTGGAGTCCAACGAGTGCCCAAGTGATGCTTGATACTGCAAGAAACACTGATTTACACCAAGCCATTAACCTGCTCTATGGCCTTGGACAGGAGCTCTGGTAGCATAGTGCTTAAGACACTTGATTGCTAACCAGAAGGCTGGCAGTTCAAATCCACCAGCCACTCCTCGGAAGGAAGGTTGGGCAATCTACTTCTGTAGTGATACTGCCTCGGCAACCCAGGGAGGGGTTGCTATGAGTCGGGTCCGACTCAACGGCACATAACAACAACAACACATGGCCTTGGACAATCCCTTTAATCTCTCTTTATGTCTGTTCTAGTGTCTTGATGTGTAAAAATGAGTAGGATGGACTAGAACTGATTTCCAAACTTTATTTTTTAGCAGCAGCAATAGAAGAAAAAAAAAGTAGGATTCTAGATACAAACAGTAGATAAAATCAGAGATACTCTGGAGAAGTGGTAGAAGGGAACTGAGGACTTAAAGCCTAATCTTCCATCTCCCCACAGAGCAAGAACTCAGGTACCTCCCAGAGTACATATTTGCAAATCCGTTGACTAGATATGGTCTGGATGCTCTTTGAGGATAGGACTCTTCCAGATGACATTCTAGGATGCTAAAACACTTTTAGCATTTGTCATTGTTAGGAGAGAGGAAAGAGTTGGAGGGAAACTGGCTTTGCATTAACCATGCTTTGCCCATGTTTAATGCTTGGGTCCACTCAGGCCAGGAAATCTAACCTCTGATGGGTTCATGGACCCTTTTGATAATATGATAAAATCCGTGGACCAGCTCCCTAGAAAAATGATGGCAGTGTCTGAGGGAATTGGATTATCACAGAGAAGGGGCTCTGGGTCAGTACTTAACATACTTCTCTGGCTCCAATGCCCACTACAAGGAAGTCCACTGTATCTTTTCCAGGCCAAAGGGGTGGAGAAGTGAAAAAGGCAGGCTTCTCTGGTTTTCAAGGGCTGTTTGGTGCCCAGTGAGGGAAGGCAGAAAGATTAGCCAGAAGCTTGCTTGGTAGCAGCAGGAAAGCCTGGCTCTTCCTACTGTGATGCCCCACTGTTGGCTGGGCTCTGTGGACAGCAATTTCTCTCCCATGGGACTTGATACTTTCAGTGAGCTACCCCCATTATAGAGATGAGGAAAGCAGAGATACGGTTTGAGGAATTAAGCAGAAGGTACAAGTGGAGCCTGACAGTGGGAGCAATCAGGGGCAGTAGGCCCAAACAGGCTCAGGACCCACCTCCCAGTTAAAGACCTGTTACAATTCTACCTTCTCTGGAGCCCCAAGAATAAAGAAGGGGAAGTGACATTCATCTGATCCAGCATACACCCCCTTTAGCTTACAAACATCCATACACCAGAACTATAGTTGCCTGTTTATTGTTTTTCAAAACAACAAAACCTCCAAAACATATTAAAAATCCCACCACAGTGGAAACATCAGCTGATTCAGGCTGTCTCCCAGGTTATTTCATGGAACATCAGGCACAATGGGGAATGGGCTGTTGCCTTGGAAGGGTTGGATGCACACTTGCACCAGGGCTCACATCAGAAGAGCTGCAGGCCAGTTTTGAGCCCATGCAGCTGCCCATGGCTCCAGAGAAGGCCCTCGAAGTTGCTGTTGCTGTTGCTGCAGTTGGCACTGCCGATGCCACAGCTTAGGCCCAGGCTGCTGCAGAGACAGTGTGGGGTCAATCAGAGAAGGAAGCAGCTTTAGGCTCCTGGGGGGCCAAGGGTGTTTGATGTATTTATGTCTGTGGGAAAGACCCACCCTCCTGCCTGTCTTTACTGAGAGAGACTGAAGCAAATCTGAGAAACCACTTCAGGTGGGCCCCAAGGATGGCTCTGCTTTCCCTCCAGTGGAGGGAGGAAGGGAGGGAGGGAAAGAGGAATAGAACTTTTCAAATGAAACTTTATTCAGAGACCCAATATATAAATCACATTAAAGCAGAGCTGTTTAGGCTGAGGTACAGGAGGGGAACCAGTACCACCCCACCCCCAAGAAAATATTTAAAGTAGCTACTTTAACATGGCCTTCTTCCAAGGCCTTAGAACTTGGTGGCCAAGAGGACCCTGGGCTGGACACACACACCCCACCAGCTGGTTAAAGGGATCCAAGGCCAGACTTGGTACTGGAGGGCTAGGCCCAGCTCCCACTCCAGAAATGCAGACTGCTCTAGGGATACGACTGTCCACCCCCAGCCCTGCCTACTCAGAACACTCTTGCTGCTTCCCACAGTTCCTTCCAATTGGATGAGGGTGACAGCTGAGAGGAAAGCCATCATTCTTCCCCTCAGGCAGATCCACTGTTATACACAGCTGAAAAAAACCATTAGAGACGATCCAGATCCAGTATCATCTTCTCTTATCACCTACAAGCTTACAGAGAAGGAAGCTGAGGCTCAGAGATAGGAAGAGTCACACAGCCAAGTTAGGGGTGGAGGTAGGAGAAGCAGCAGGGATAGGCATGCCTTGCCCCAGCAGAGGAAGCCTCCCTTCTACTGGGGGGTCAAATCCACTTCTTTCTGGATTTAACAGCTCTACCTACCCATACCTCATCCTGGACACCCTGGTGTTCACTGAGTTAGCTTTACAAGGGTCATGTTAGTTGGAGCTGAGGGAAGAAGAGGCCTCCCTCTCAGACACATGGGCCCCACTGCCAACTACAGATCACCTGGCTTCCCCAGCTGCTTCCTCTCCTCTCCCAAAGGCCTGCTGCCCCGTGGCCAGGCCTGCTGATAGAGCCCCTGGGTTTTATTGCCCTCTCCCAGGATGCCCAGATGAAGAGGGACTTATCTTCCAGAGAGTGGGCAGGCCAGAACAGGGAGCAGAGGGAAAGACTCTCAATTTCAGGGGCCCACAGGGGTCTCTCTCTGGTACTCACAGGATTTTCCCGGTCACATTGGCCCAGCATTCCGGAATGTACAGGCCATCTGGACGGGCTTCTCTGTGCTACCAGCACAGCCCCTCAGCAAGGGCTGCTTGGTTCCTGGCTCCCTGATGACCCAAGGGCTCCCACGCCTGTGATCCAGAGGCGAGTTTCGAGGGAGAGCATGGAGCCCTGCGTAGACCTTTCTATCAAGATGCCTGGACAGTGCAGGGAGGCCTAATGATGACTCTCTATGCACCTTTGGACAAATCCCTTCCCCTTTCTAGGCCTCAATTTTATTCTCAGGAACATGAGGAAGCTCATTAGAGCATCCATTCTTGACCTTCTGGGGATGGTACACTATTTTGAGGATTTGTTGAAAGCTACGGACTGCCCTCAAAATGCACGCACACGCGCACATGCACACGCGCACGCACACACACACACCAGATGCAATATAACTGGTGCTAAGCCAGTTCTGCCCTACTGGGTCACCCTACTTGGGGCTGGGGGTAATGGCAAGGACCTAATCAGGGACTCGAGCTTATACTTCACTCATTTAGGCCCTCTCTAGGGATGGTGACCTCCCCAACTCAGCCCACTTCTCTTACTCCCTCCCACAGAAGATAAAAGGGAGTGATAAATCCTGCTGCCATGGATACTCACCCAGTCTTGCACATCGGGGGTTCCAGCCGCTGCTCTAGCACAGGCTGATCCAAAAGATACATGGTGTCATAATTCTCCAGCATAAGCTCTGCTGGGTCCTCAGTCTGACTAGGCATTCGGCCTAAGGGGAATGTGCCCCATCGCACATCTTCTGTGGAGCACAAGGAAGTGGTTAGAACAGGCTCATTAGGTGGTTCTCAGACTGGCACACAGGCCTACCTACCCGCTTTTCCACCCACCCACTCCAACTAGCCTACTCGGGTGTCTCCAGCCTCGCTCTTCTCTACCTCAATGTTCCCTACTCCATCCATACCTTACCACAAACTCTATGGTCCTTCTTCCTGTCTGTAAACACACACGCAAATTATAGACAGACACTTTTATTTCTCCATGCTCTTCTCTTCCCATTTCCCTAGACATGTCGCCACATAGACAGTCAATATTCTCTTTAGACTTGACCATTTCAGTCCCAATCTCTCAGCTACACCCCTATTTCCACATTTATATGACAACATACACTCATACATACATCCTGGAGGGTCTGAATGCCTAAGAATTCCCACAACATCCCCTCCAAACCCAGAGAAACCTCAAAATATCTGAATGACATAGATTTACAAATCTACGAACATTTGAATGCCATGCCATTTCATACTGGGCTTGCCTTGAGACATATACAACACCCCCCAACACATACACACAAAGGGAAGGGCCCTGTCTCAATGCATAGTTCCTCACCCCCTGTCACCTAAGTATATACATGTAACCACAAAGGCCTCCATTCAATAAATGTTCCAAGTATCACTCTCTCCCTTCTATATCTCTCATTCATAGGCACATAAACCAGAAATCTTAATATCCTTTCCTCCCTACATACGTGTATTCACACATAGGGGTAGCAATGGCGAGAGAGAGAGGGAAATATTTTAATACTCTACCTTTTTTCCACATTCACAAGCCATCTTCCCCCCGCCCCAACACAGATACTCTATTTGAGGATGGAGTGTCAAGCACTCACCACCCTGCTCCATCCTATCATATAAACATGCTCCCCATCCTGACACAAATGCTCCCAATGTTTTTAAGTGAAGCCTTCACTGGTGAGCTCCTGAGTAGATTTCATTTCTGGACTTCTGCATTTCCCTGATAACCATGGAACTTTGTCATAAGTCCCCTGGCATTCAGAAAAGTATCAGTCTTAGACTAGCCTTTTTTTTGTTACCCACAGAACCCAGCAAGGGTTCTTCCTGTCTACCCCCTCCCCCCAACTCCTGGCTCTTTTATAGGATATCCCTGTCTTCATACCCTGCATCTCCCTAACACACAAAGATACCATTATATATAGGGGTCATTCTCCCCATGGGTTCTATCACTGACCCCCTCCCCAACACTAATATCCCCAACCCTATCTACACCTCTGCCTCTGCTCTCTACTCTAACACACTTGTACATGTATACTCAGTGACAGCACAAACACCACACAGGCTACATCTGGATGATCGTTTCTCTGCCTGTTTCCATAACCCTCCATATATCCTGATCCCTCACTATTACCATTTCTCTTCTTCCTAACCCGCCTCATATACTCACACATCTCCTCACTCTCAAGTCAGAGTGACTCTGCTGCCTCTTCCAAAAATATATGTATATACGTACCATGAATGTGCGCATGCGCATCTTAACACAGAGCACACTTCACAATGACCTATTTCACTGCTTTTCCTTTTCTCTCTCTCTCTCTGTCACACATACTCTGTCTCAAAACCCCTCCATTTCCATATATACGAAGACTTCCAAACTCTGCCCTCTTTGCCCTAGGAGGCAATTTCTCTGTTGTTATGCCACTGTTTGTTCAGCTTACATAGGCACATACCCAGAGACATGCAAACATTCCACTACTCCTTCCAGTCAGGGCCTTTATGCCCCAGCCCTTTCATATACATGTCCACATAAGGGCAAATGACACATCTTTCCTCATAAGCTCAATCACTGCCTCTTCTCTCTCATTCTTGCTTCCTCCATCATGCCCTACTCTACACCACACCCAGACCCTGCTCTCTTGTGGGCTATTCTTCTGTCCCCTCCCTCAGGACAGGCTCTGTCACAGGCTATGCCTGACACCTACCACTGCCTCCAATGTGTACACATGTATACATGATCATGCACACACACTAGACTGTTCTGACATTTCTTCTCTCTCGTTCCTATCTCTAACCTAAGTGAGTGTACTCAAAAGACTATCCAACCACCCTCAGGAGAAGGATGTTCCCCTACCTTCCCTTCCTATCACCAACCACCACTTCCACCCTCAGCTTTGGTCTAACTTGCCTCCCTATCTAAAAGCCCCATCATTCCTTATCCACACTCTTATTTCACTTCCAGTTTCTCTGACTTAATGCTTCTAGGTTTCTGCTTTCTAATATGCATAGCAAATCCTTTCTCACCACCTAGCCTCCATGTATACATGTACATTCACACGTAGATAGGAAATATTCCCTTTGTCTTGCTGTCCCTGGGACTCTACACATAAAAATCACATGGCGAATCATACATACACACCTCCTCAGCCCCCCAGTTCTCACTCTCTCCTTTTATTTTTTCTGCCCACATCCACACCATCCTCTCAAAATGTGCTAACTGCCTGTCTCCAAACTTCACCCCCACCCCAACACACATGCACAGGCCAACTCTTATCCCCTAGTCCCTAGGCCTCCTTAGTTTCTCTCCCATTCATATTCAGCACTCTGAAACTCACTTCTCTTGGGTCCAACCCTCTGTTTTACCACCTCCTACAAACTATCTCAGCCAGCACTCCCCAATGCTACTGCCCTCACTTCCCCTGCCACCATGCCCAACATCTGCACTGGCTGTTGCATCCTGTGCATCATCTTGCAGGTCCCCTCTAATATAGCCTCTCTCAACATCCACACAGTCCCATGCCCCCTGCCTGTTTGGCGCCACCCCCTTGTCCATGCCAGCCTGCATGCTCACCCTTTCTATCTCAATATTGGCTCTTATTTCTCAACACTTTTGGGTTCTTCATGCTTAAAAACAATCCCACACCCAGTGCATTTCTTAGGGATAAACTTCCTCCTGATGACTCACTTTCCCCTCTCACAAACCTGCTGTCTCCCTTGTGTTCCAACACTCCTGCACACCCCTTGCATGCATGTGTGCACATCTGCATACATCCCCACCCTCTAAGCACAGAGAGCACTCCCTGCACGCCTATATGTGTAGAAGGCACGCAGAAGCACAAGGCCTAGGCTCCACTAGGAGGACTGCTGTTGATTCTCTACTCCCCAGCTCTCAAAACTTTACTCACCTCTGCACTTCACCGCTCAACTGTATATAACTCCCAACCATGTCTTACCACCTTTGCCTGTCTAAACTTTTCATACACATTTGCCTTAACACTAGGGCCATGCGGCTTTCTGAGTCTCATTACCGTGGGGCTCCTGGTCTTTAATACACATGCACATACCTCACACCCCCCAGTTCCTCTTGCAGCAAGGGCTCTACTATCTTATTCAAGCCCTCCACTGGGCCCTTGCTCATCTCATGGGAATGTTTACACACACATACGATGAGAGTTTCATTTGCCATATGGGCACACAGAGCTCTGTAGCTCACCATTCTCAACCTATACTTGTTGTTGTTGTTATTTACCATCAAGCTGGACCCGACTCATAGTGATCCCTCCCTGGGTTTCCGAGGCAGTATCCTATGGAAGTAGATTGCCCAACCTTCCTTCCGAGGAGCGGCTGGTGGATTTGAACTGCCAGTCTTCTGGTTAGCAGTCAAGTGCCTTAGACATTATGCCACAAGAGCTCCTCAACCTATTCTATTTATACACAATTATCCAAATGCCTTTTCCTACTCCTACAGTCTCAGTAACAAAGTAACATAGGGTCCTTCCCTCCAGACATATACGTAACTCCTAAGATGGGTTTCACTGCAGGCTCCTTGTGGTATAGTAAATTACTTTGTGTGGCTTTTCTACCCATAAGTCTTTGTAAACTCCAAGGTGGGGTTTGCTATGAGCAACTGAGGAGCTCCTGATTGCTGAAGGTGTCCACCTGGAGTATTTCTGTTGGGAGTGGCACAAAACAATGTTCTGGGAGGTGCCCACTCTCTCAGGTGCTTA